TAAAAAGTCAGTTCAACTTTGTCTTAATTATTAAGATATGCAAGAAGAACATCATTTTGCATCCATGTCAATTGGACGAAATCGCATATATTTAGGCCTTGTTTATCTATATATACCTACTGAGCTTCAATCATTTTTTGGGGTTGACATTCATTTGCAAGCCTTATTCCATATTACTAATTATATTATCGGGATTTGGAGCATAACAAGTGTGAATTATAACCCAAATGCACTCGCTACAAGGCTTCCTGAGGGGTCGGCGATGCCATGTGTTTTTTACCAACAGTTATCATATTAAAGTGTCGACTTGTTTAGTAATTGCTACTAATACTGCCTATATTTAACCATTTTCTGTTCGTGCTAAATTACCTACTGGCTGAACCGTTACACGGCACGCACCTGTTCCAGTTTCATGCAGTTGAGTCTGCTCAGTGGCCAACTTTAATGGACCGGCTCCGGACCGATTATGTAATGTTGAATCATCCTCGAGGCCAACCACTAACTCGTGAAGGTTTTCATTCATTGTAGACTGAGCTGGCATTGCTTCGCTGGTAGAGGTCCGATGTTTAATCCAACGAGGAGTTGAGGGAATATCACTTGCCGGCTGTATAGAAAAATATCGGCTCTGTCTAACATTTGTTATCTTGGGCAACAGCGGCTTCTTTGTATCTCTTTCCTCCTCCTCGTTCTCCTCTGATTCTGATTGAGTGTGCCTGAAGCTTTCGCCACATTTTTCTCTACTGTCTGGATGGTTGTTAAAAATGTCAGTCTTGTATTGGAGTAGCGAGTCACTGAAAATCTGCCTTGCACCCACTGACAACTCTGCTTCACTCAGTCCGAAGCCTATTATGTCTGGAGAGGTACTCAGCATTAACTTTTCACTGTCTAGTTCTGTAGATGACTTCATTTTGCTCAGGGGAGGAGAAAAAAAGGAGGCGTCTTTATAATGTGAATTAATTGTAAAGTAGCAAAATGGGTGCGAAATCAGTGGGAAAAAGTGGGAGTGTAAGCAAGAATAAAATAAATGCTTTAGTGCAGGACGGATCTATTTTACTTGACTTTAAGAGACTTCACGTTGCTCTCGAATTCCAATTAGACTTGCCTTAAACTGTTTTTTTATCCGATACTGGTCAGAGCTCAGCCTCTGTCTACACCTCAAAGATACTAAATACAAAGATAATACTCAGGAGTTGTTTCTAGTTTTGAAGCAAATTCATACCAAACATTACTTCGAACGGTGTTTTAATAATTCCTTGGTTGAAAATAATAGGTGGAATGTTGTTTTACCTCGTTTTTGCAACGTGTACTTGTTACTATGGTGGCCTAGATGAAATTCTCTTGTCTGGAGTCCTCTGCCATAGAAGTCATGATAATTTTCAGCCTCTGATCGTGGACTTAATACAATCAGTTAGTCTTTGCCGGCATCATCTTTGAGTTTTGCCATCCTTGAAACTTAACTACAAATCATCAAAGGGGCAGTTGAAATCAATACATTGATCAACTTTATGCTGAAAAGTTGTCCTGGTACATTCATCCATCCTATCTACTCGTATATCCTCTTTCACTAGCACAACTTCTGATTTGTTTATTTTTACCTGTTCCAGAGGTCTATCCTTTTGATCAGATTTAGTAAGACCTATTGACACCGTTAGTTTCATTATCACACTATTGTGTTTGTGATTTTTACGCTGTCTACTCATGGATTTCAATTCCATGAAAAGTCTGGATAGCTGGAGGGTTACATTACAGTTGTGTCTGCGGATTTATGCAAAGAAGTCATCGGCAAACCTCATCCGATTCCGATAAATTTGTGCTGATCTTTCCTCAGTTTTACTGTGATACAACTTCAGAGCATGAAATCATTCTTTCAGAATACTAAACAAAAATTAGTTGCCAGCTATGATCCACTAAATTAGTGATTTCATGATTGGGGTAGCATGAGGTGGCGTACGAAGTGGATGCATTTGTAGCTGGATTGGCACACAAGAGATTAAGGCATAGGGAGTCATTGTAGGAACACACTTAATTCGGAGTCCATTGTAGGCCTGATAATTTCATGATTCGGATAGTGGGCATGGTACATTCCAAGACGTTACGTCGGCATTGTCAGTTAGACTTGCCACTTTTAGTACCACACTAAAAATCGTCGAAAAGACAAGTGAAGCCGATACTTTGACCAATTGTCTGCTAAACGATCGTGGTATATCTCCTTCCCCCCTAGGCTATTCACCAATCTTATATCATGGATCGCCCTTTCACTATTACAATTTTTGCTTGATTATTGAAATCAGGTATGATGTGCCTTTTTGAGTGGCTTTCATGAGAACTGTAGACACACCACACTGGCTTTCTCACCTGCTCACCATCAACACCCTTGTA